CATGACTTGCTCAGCGCATCTGCAAGTGGACATCTTCCCAGTCATAGTTACTAGGAATGTTTAAGTATGTTATGTGAGCATCTCCGTTCTAGTGAAATCGCATGCAGGCAAAAATAAAACAGAGGAGAGGAGCACTGTTTTTACCACGAGTTTTAAGAAGGAATCTCTAAAATACCAGTTGTACTGGAACTGATTTTTTTTTCTGTACTTCAAAAATTATGCAGCGTAATTGCATGTTCTTATGTAGCTATTCTTTCCTGTAACGTTACTGTTCTGTCTATTACAAGGAAGAGAAACATTTTTCTCCAGAGTCCTCAATCCAGCACATTACAGGAGTGCAGCTCTCCAAAGATACTGTAATCTAATAGCAGTAGCATTTTGGCCACTGTAGCAAAGGCTGACCGCAAAAGTTTTCTGGATCCCTGAAGCCTACGCAGCCCTAGTTAAACTGCTGTTAGCACTAAGCTAGCTAGTTAAAGTTTCTTTGAGTATTTATAGGCAAGCTACCAGTATCTGCATAGGCTGCAATCACACCTTGAAGTTACAAGGCAGAAAACATTTTTTGCAGTCATTTCTGGGAGAGGTTTGGGGATAGGGTTCCAGGGAAGAGCTTTGCTCTGGTAGAATAAACCTTGAACTGATGGTTGAAGGATGAGAGATCACCTTGAATAAGTTCAGAATAGATTCCTTCCTTTAGAATAATCTCAAGGCTTTCAAACACCCCCTGTTACCGGGATGCTGTCATCCTAGTGAGCACAGAACCTTTGAAAGTGAACAGCCATAAAATCAAGTTTAAAAAACCAAAAAATAGAATTTTAGAATATGTAGAACATGAGTGCTATTTTAACTAAGGTCTTGTTACCTCAGAAGTTACACCTGTTTCCAGAAGAGATGCAACCACGTAAGCTGTCAGGGAGATCTTACCATGGATTCCACCCTGGAGGGCAACAAACACAAACCACCAGATGAAAACTAGAGAAAAGGACAGTGGATAGAGAGACTCTTGAAGCAAGACAAAGAATACATTATAAGAGAAGCTGTGGCATCACAAAACTTCTTTTCCTTTGCACAGAAGGTGTACTAAATTTAGGAACCCAACACTGTAGCTTCCTTCCCTCGCAATAGCCTGAGAACACACTCAATGCACATAACTTCATACTCCAAGACACGATTCTGAAGGGTTTTGCAAGACCTGACATCTTGCTTTCCATTCTCACATGACAGCACACAGATATGTTCTGATAAACTTCTTTTTACTGAAATTCTCCTGGTTCTTCCTGTACTAATCTAGCCTTTCAAGTGCAATATTTGTATTAGGCATAAGGAAACTGCATCACTTCATGCTTGGATAACAACATTAAAAATGCACCTACTGCATGATTTTGAGTCTGCACAGTTTTTACCTGAATGTCCTTATTTAGTATCCTGCCCATAGCAGGAAAAGAACCATCTTCTTTCTGATGCTGGATGATCCAGTCTTTGGCAGCTGTTAGTTCTTTCGGGTCAATGAAAATAAACCCACGAGACTGTGCAAAGGACTTGAGGACAAAAGCTGTTAGCCTGTAAATACGAATTTATCATCTTTACTGAGAAAACAAATTCAGAATAATGTATCAGTAAAGGGAAAACAACATTCTTAGAAAGCACAAATTTTAAAAATCTTCTTGGGGAAACACTAGATATTGTTAAAAAAATAGTGGTACATAAAAGCACCTGGACACTGATAAGAGCAGGATTAAGGGTCAACAGATTAAACTGAAAAGTATAACTGCAAGATACATTTGTCTTAGTTATGACACGCTCTGAAATTCAATTCCCTTTTATAGGTGCTCATCTGCTAGCAAAATTATTAAAGATTTTAAATTAAGAATCAGTATCTTTATAAATAGGGAATTATTTGTAAAGAAAAGAGGAGTAAGTTTTCCAATTTTGTTACTGTCTTAACTAAAAAAAAAAAAAGAAATCCAGACCTACTGCTAAAGTTTGAGACTTTATACAGAATTAAGACTTAAGAAAGCAACAGAAGTGTTTTTGGAATTCTAAACCTCTGACATGCAACAAGTGCGAACTCTGGCCAGCTTTGGGAGATTGAATCATTCATTTTACAAGCCTCTGAGGAATGGGAGGGTAGAAAGCATGCTGCCTGGCAGGGGATTTTTCAAGTGTTAAGTAATTCTGTGTCACCGTATTTTACATCTAGGGACTGGGAGATGCCAGATCTGAGATAAAAGTTTACTATCTTAGAAACAGTGAGGCAGCACATTATAGAAGTGGTACTTTCCCTCAGATGAGTTCATGAAGAAAAATCAGTTTAAAGCAAAATACAGAGCAGATGGGAGAAGCCAAATGACAACATAAGCAAATGAATGAAGACAAGAATCTACTACATCAGAGACATTATAGTCAACTAACACGCTAATGTGATGTAACGTACAACCTTAAAGGCCATGGTTTCCTAAGGGAGACATTAGTGAGATGAGCTGATTTCTCAGTTTCATAATTTCTGGTTCTCATATTGTTTGACTCTGAAAGGTCCTGCACTTCAATTCTCAGGGCATAAATCCATATAATTCCATTTACATCCCCATGAGTGGATATAAAATAAAGCATTTGGAAGAAAAAAATTCTTTGGTTTTTTTTGCGTTGGCTTTGGTGTCTGTTTTTTTTCTACCCTGGTAGAAGCCTCTGCCGCTTCTAGAGACAGCAAGTTTCTCTGTACATGTTTCAGGTGAAGCTCCATTCCCCGGTGGAATTAGGTGCTTTAATGCCCCATACATTGCTATTCCAATGCCAACAGACCAAATACGATCCTTAACTATAGCTTCTGAGCCTAAAGCCTGGACATATTAGCAGATGTGACTATCTTAACTGCCCCTGAGTCTTGAAACACCTTTAACACGCCTACTAGTGTAGTACGAACACTCAGCAGCATTGAAACAGCAAGTCTATAGTCACTGAGTATTATTTCTATTCTCCACTGTGTGTGATACCATGATGGAAGCTGGAAAAATTACTCTTCTTTCCTTGCCAATTGTGTATTTCTCCCATTTAGCAAACACTGAATTTTCTAACTCTGTTTTAAATAGCAACTCACCACATACTCCCCGAGGAATCCCTCTCGCCAAAAGCACTGTATGAACCATCTTGTCTCTTGTAGGTCAGCTGGCGCTGGTAGCCTGGAAGTCACAAAAGAACTGGGGGAGTCCAAAATCCTCACACAGAATAAAACAAGTATGTAAAGTGAATGAAGACTCGGACCATCTGGCACTAGTGTAAGGGATTCTGCTGCCCGAGGCAACCTCTTATTTTGCTGTGAGTGATAGAGCCAGCTCTGTGTACGTACGCTGCAGCTTATTCAGAAATCCATTCAGGCTGACATCTGTAAGACTACAACTCCTGCGTTTTGGCCAGTACAAATGTTAAAAATTTGACACCCCTCTGAAAAGATACAGTATTAAAAGAAAGATTTTTACTTAAGCATGCAGGCATTCTCCTTCCATTTTACTGAAAGCATCATGCAGATAATTTTTTTTTTTCCTTTGATCATACAACTGGATTCAGACTTTTCTCCAAAGCTGTTGCTTGGGACAACTTAATGTAACATGACAATAACAGCCATGATCTTAACATACACGAACACTTCCTAGCTCCTAGGGCTCTCTTATAAGGCTTGTTTTAGACAACAATTATTAACACGTTGAATACTGAAGATAAGGACTCTCTATCGGAAAGTCTTTTGAGATTAAAAATAAAGATAGTCAAAACGATCTTCCTCTTAGGAAAAGAATTTGCTTCTCAAACCTGTTTGTCTTATAACTGTGAACTGCCCATCCTTGTAAAGCACTCTAAGGTTCTGTGTTGAGGAATACAGAATACACACTTTAATAGAGCTCTTAAACACCCATTGGGATCAAACCTTTCGGAATGGGTATTTGTGATAGAGAGAGATGTCAAACCCGCAAGAAGACAGTGTCAAAAGACATTTGGTGCCTGCTTAATTCTCTGATACATGAACAGACATTTTATTCCCCACTGCAGGACATTTTTATGGGAATGGATTACTTTTTCATTTCCGGACACGAAGTTTCTTTGTTGACCTCTCCAGATACAGGCAGCTCCGCAAACCCTGAGGAAGGGCTGCCCAGGACTCCTACACTTTTTTCTGTTGCTCTATAGCCTCCCAATGCTTGTAGGGAATGCAGATAGAATGGCAGGAACAAAGCTCTAGAGATTAATGATGCTCTTGTAGTAAAAACATCTTTGTCTGGGGGTTGTGGGTTATATAAAAGTATGTGGCAGAAAGCATAAGTAACAGTGGGTTTTTTTTTTTTTTTTCTTTCTCCAAACAATAGGTGTTACGTTAAATTAGATTGCTTTTATTCTACAGAGGCCTCAGATAAGAATTTACTACTGAGCTCTTCCTCCTTAGATTGTTCCCAAATGTTCATTTCCAGTGTGGTAGATGGAAAAATTAAGTACTTGTATTTTTATACAAATATTAGAATTTTCTCTGTTCTTTCATTCAAATGTTCATTTTGAGTTGACTTGTGCTTCATTGCTCTTACATTTATTCTTCTTTGCTTACTAGGTTGACAGTGGCACAGACTTTAAGTCTTGCTTGCTCTTCTGAAAACTTCCGTTTTCTAAATGCTCCTCTAGGTGCCTGGACTCACTGGAGAGGTTCACCCTTCTAGCTTTCACCTGTTCACTTGCTTTTGTAGAACTGCATTGCGGGGAAGTAGAAAAACTACTGACTAGTTTAGCTTAGGCCACTTCTAAAGATTAGGGAATATTTGGGAATTGTTGGGCATCAGCACTTTCTGTGATGGATGACTAAGTGATGAAGAAGTTTTCTGGCTTGGTAAGGCACAAAAGTGAGCAAAGAGACTTTCCCATCTAAACCTTACACTTGGCAGGGCTCCAGGAAACACAGAAAAGTTTAAAACTCTTGAGGATTTCTTCTGTAAGGGTTAATTAGCAGGCAGAGTTTGGAGCCAAAGACCTGGAAGGTTTGCAGATTCATAAAAAGAATCTAAAGCAAATGATCTTGCAAAGGAAACACTGACCTGGACTATTAAAAAATTCCCTTTCTCTTACTGCTGTCAGCAAGCATGAAAAATTACAAGTGAAATGACTGTAGCCAGGCAAAGGAAGCAGCACTGGGCTTTTGCTGCTGAATACAAGAAACATATTACATATTACATTTTATATTTATATTTTCAGAGGAGAACCACCTAATCCTGTCACCTCTGATTTCATGACATGACTATTGTCTGACTCATACACAAGACAGCTTTGTCCCTTTGGGTCATTCTTGTTTTTAATGATCTCTGAATTCTTACTTGTCCTGAGAATTGTATTTAGTTATAAACTATTTTGCACATGGCTTTTCCCAAACAGATGCAGAGAAAAACAGTGCATAAAAAGATAGATTGCTTTGAGCTGTTTAGTGAGATAGGACAGGACACTGAAAGGACAGATAGAAGCCTTTGTTATGTGGCTCTAGGTTAAATACTTTGGATATTAACTTTTGATTTGGGGTATACTAAGAAAATACCATTAAAAAAGAGAAAGTTCAGAAAAGAGACACATAGTGACTAAAGGACTGGAAAGACAATTTATGAATAAGGCAAAAAATCCTAGATTTTTAATAAATTTAATTTTCCTTGACTTTCTGAAATGTTTAAACATAGAAATAAGCTGCCTACTGGGAAAAAAAAAAAGATGAAAAAATATACATCAAGAAGCCTATAAACTAGGACTTACTGAAACACAGGCTACATATCAAGGGAAAACATCTTGCAATCAAAAACTGTTAATCTGTGAGATTATCCTAGAGGAAATGACGAATCTTCATTACTTGGGATACTCTTGATTAGAAAGTACAATGTGATATTAGTGAAACTCTCTTCTAACTCACAAGCCTTTTCTCCTTCTATAAATTGTAAGTGTAATGAGTTACCTTGAACAAGGTAATCAGTAGCTTCACTCTCCACCTCATGACTGAGTTGTTTGGTTTTCTGCAGATATTTCAGGACAAAAACATTAGGAGCAAAATGGATCATGTTCTGCTCCCCACATCCAAATGGTAATCGCAAAAGATTGTCCAAGTTGTTCAGTGTAGGACCCATCACATCTCCTGTTTTAAAAAAAAGAGTTGATATGTTCAGTATCAAGGAATTACACTTCACTTCCTTTTGATGTCCTCTGATTAAAACCCACCTGACTACACTAATTTCTACCAGCTATGCACTGTCAGTTTGAATAAACTGTATCATAAGTTGGAAATCCTTCAAATGTTAAGTCTTAGCCCTTCAAACTCTTGCTGGAACAAATAAATTTCACATTTCAGTGTTAGTTCAATTATCCATGACTCCCCAATTTAGACTACAAGTTTAGAACACAGCACAATTTGTGATCATGACTATTATGATATTAATACTATGGATTCTAACAGACAGTACCTCTGCAAAGCCCTCAGATGATATCATCTTTAAGTCATTGTCAACTCAAACGGGGTTCAAACAAGTGACAAAAATTATTTCTCCCAGAATTAAGCAGTATATACCTTTGTGACTGCCTATGACTATCTTATCTGGTCTGTATTACTCAAACACTGGTCAGAAGCAAGTAACAGCTGGAGTATCTCTTCATATTTGATAACTGGTACCTAGTGATACCTCCTCATAATTGATACCTATTATTGAAGCCGTAGCTCTTTCTGATCCTGGAATTATGTTGTGGGGAACTCCAAGAGTAAATGCTTCATTGTGATTTTCATCAGTCTCTTCTTTTCTCCAAATTTTAAACTCTCCCATTGACCCCCAGCCTGTGGAAAAGCCAATGTACTTCACCTCAAGCGGTTTGGGGACTGTCCATTCCACAATAATAGACTCATTTAGCACCCGAGTACCATGGCCAACCTGAAAGGAACAAAAAACTGTGCAGTTCCAAGAACCCACACATATGAAGTCAGTCTGCCACGTGTCCTTGGACCCAGTAACTTATGTGTGTATCGGAGAACACTGTAGATGGACCAGTACCTTTCTCTTTCCCACCCACAAAACAATCCAAGGAAGTTTAATGAGAATTCCACAGGCTTGACCTCCAAGGCTTTAACATTTAACACACTTAGCACTAAAAACATTGAAGACTGAGGTCCTGAGAACATAAGGTGGCAAGCAGACATGTGCTGATTAAAACAGCCTGATCAAGACTTAATACAGAAAAAGCAACAGGAGCAAAGCTTTCACCTTCTAGCACAAGCAGAATGAAAATCTGCCATATATATGCTCAAACTCTATTTAAGAAAGCAAGAGACTTTCAGATAAAGTCACTACCTGGATAATTCCATTTTTCCAGCTGATCCAGAAGCTGCGGAATTCATCCCAGGAGAGGATACCAGCTGTGTCCCTGCTGACCACTGGCTCACCCATTTTGCTTATGGAAATCCAAGTTCTAGTATTTTGATGTCCACCAATAACAATCTCAGTCATCTCTGCCATGTCATGTGGACCAGAGGACAAGGCCACGTGAGCATCATTGTGTGCTTTCACAGCAATGTCAAAGTGTGTCATCTGGGCAGGTTTCTGCATGTATTGGTACTCATATTTGTTAGGTGTAGAAATGTGTATTTTCTCTAGTCAGAAAAATAATAGAACATTGTAAGAATTAGAGCTTAGCTCGCATACTTCAAAAATAACCCATAGCTAACTAGTAAAATTTAAACAAACAGACCTTTCCTAAGTACATGTTAATTTTTCCAGCTTCTCTTAAACAAACTATAAATGAATATGTGGATGTTTCTTCCCACCTTCTATTTATACCCTCCTTCCAATAGAGAAGATCCTGCAATTCAAACTGCTCAGCTGGATTTGTTATGAAGTGATTTTTCAACTCTAATCTAGTGGTCAAAAGCATCTCTGTTTAGCTACTAGAGACAACTTTGAGCTATCCAAATCTCAGGCAGAAAGGACATACTGATTCCAGAACTGAATTTTAAAACATCAGCTGAAAATATAGTGCAGTCACAGTTACTGTCCACAGTGCTGAATACTTAAACTGTTTCATAAAGTAAAGGAATTTAATTGCCATTTCCAGAAATCACTTGGGCAGTTAGAGCAAATTCATAATTAGCCAGCCAGGTAAGAAAGACTCTTTATTCAAAAATTCCTCCTACGCACCATAACTCATCAATCACAGGGAAATGGAAACAAAGTTGTTTTGGTTTTTTTTTTTTTAATTTTTTTTCATGAGATGAAGCCACATGTTTCTATTTATAACTAAATCAAACAAACTTAGTATCTCATTGGAATAATGAACTTACCATTTGGGCAGAAGAACACACTATAGGTGTATTCTCTGGACAGTCCCTCTGGCTATATAAAGACAGAAATCCATACATAAAAATACAGTGCTTCAATTAGCAGTAACAGCTATTCAGCTTGAATTACAAAACACATAAATAATATTCTGCTTCTGTACAGTGCTTTATATCCTTTACAGAAGAGTTATTACTTAGCTAATTAGCTAGAGATACACTAACCACTACCAGCAAATCTCACATCACAGTGTATTTCTTAGACAAACAGAGCAAGCTTATCCGATAGAATTTCTATTCCTTTTTCTTCTGAACAGTACTGAAGATTCACCAGCATGAACTCAGAACCACATGGCCCCTTTCTGTACATGTACCACAAAAGTAGATCATTTCCCATCATGTAAACATATAATAAATCAACTTGAAGATTCTTATAAACCTATTTATGTTTGATTAACTACCTAAAAACTTTCATGATTTGCCCAAGCATTTATTAATTTATTTTCTGAATTATTACAAATTAATATTTTCTTACCTCAATAATAACGCTACTGCGAACATAATCCATTCCCACTGGGGTCCTTTTGTCCATATAATTGTCCTCCGAGTGCTTGCCATTCTTTAAGGTCTGCATCCCATCCTGACAGCAATTAGTTCTACCATAAGCAAAAGCTTTTGCTAAGAAACAGAAGGGAAAAGCAGCAGAGAGTTTGAGATAGGAAGATCTTCAGGAATTCAAATGAAGATCTAAACTAATTAGATACAGTTGATTAACAACATATCAAGTGTTTTGTAATTACAGCTCTCTTATATGATCTTTATTCTACGTTTGAAAGGTCACATCTAAAACCGGACAATATGTGAACAGTCATGGGGCAACAGAGAAACTCTTTCCTAGTTTCCAGTGTTGCACAATTTTTACTGTGATTATTTGCTTGAAAGATGTACAGAATTTGTTGTTATTTTCTTATTTAAAAATTTCCACTGATCTCTTCAGGGAGATCTAACAGGTCCAAACCTTAGATGACCACATATCACACAACAGGAAAACTGATGACTAGGGAATCTCTTGACGTTTGTTCACACAGAGTCTTCAGTGTGTTACAGCTATAGAATCTGTTTCTAAGAAACAACTGAGGTTGAAGAGCTAAGTTGGCAGCAAGTGGAACGAATGATCCCACTTTGGGGTAGAAGGGAAATAAGCATTTTCTTCTGAAAGAGGAATAAAAAGAAACACTTGTAAGACTCCTTCAAGCAGCAAGCTATTTTTATTACTATACTACCAGTGATGTTGCTCAGTCCAAGCTCATTGAAGGACAAAACGATAGAGGTGGGTTTAGCTTCCCCAGGGGCAACGCACTTCTTTCTTGTCAGATGGTGTTTCCCAGGATGCCCAACAAACTTTATGCCTTTTGGAACAGAAATCTTCACATGGACCTGTGAAAATTTTTGAATGCCATTTATTGCAAATTTCATCTGTTAAACCAACAGATACATATGAAAAACCTCAAAACCACAAAATGCTTAATAAAATCATAGCATGCCTAAATTATTCATTCTTCAAACCTTCTAGTAACAAATTTGGCTGACAGCATTATTTTCAGCTCAGAAATTTTACAAGTAGTTCAGAATGATACTACTGGAGCTGGACAGATCGTGAGTTTGAGAAGAAAACATCTGGGGAGAGATTTCTTGTACGAAAAGTTCTTTCAAAATAAACTACTTTCAGCAGCTTTCTGATTATGAAGGAATGGTCCTGCATGAGCTTCCTAATTGTCTTCCCTATATTTTTCACTATCTGTATTTCTGAAGTGTTGTAAGACACTTCAGACTACTACAGTTGTTTCAAGCTAAAAGTAACTAAAGCAATGACATTTATTCATATTGAAAAGCAGTGGTTTTATCTTGTTCAGAGCATTTATGCTGAGCTTACCACTACGTTATCCCTCAACCTTATCTACATAACTTGTAGATCACTTAGGAAATTCTGATGATAACACAGAATTTCGTAACTTAGCAATGGGAATAAAGAGGGCTGTTACCTCTACACAGACAGCTAAGTAATTGTAGACAGTCAATGGGATTTTGGTCTGTTCTCCCCGGATGACATGGTACGGCAAGGTGAAATCAATGAAGAAAGGTTTAAAAGTCTTCAGTTCGGTTTGACTGGCAATGCCTAACCCCTTCTGCTCAGACAGACCCACAGCTTCAGTTATCCACGTAGTGATGGAGTCTGGCACTTCCACGTGCAGCTGTGCTTCTCCCGATACATTACTACCAAAGAGAAGAGCAAATAACAGGGGTTGATCAAATTAATGGAATGCTTTTGAATGAAGCTAAAGCACACAGAGCCAAACATTTTGGGGAACTCCCTCCAGATCCAAACTTACCACATGGCATCAGTGGCTGCTTTGAACAACTGCTTATAAAAGGTTCAATGTTTTCTATCAGGTTTTTTGAGACCTCTGCACATTTATAAGGAGCAGAACAGCAAGCAGCTGCTTCTGCAAAACACAGTCTAACATACAAATTCTTACTGGATTAAAAGCTTTACAGGCATTTGCAGCCTCATTATAGACTCACTTTTCTTAGAGGCAAATGTCTGCACTAAATCAAAAAAAAAATAAAAGCAAGAATCCTAGGCTGAAGTTCTGGATAAAAACAGTTCAGCGATAATTTATTTAACAGCTAGTGAAATAAAAGTAATTTTTGTTGGAACCCATTGTCCTTGTATACATTGCCACATTGCAGACTCTGCTTGAACATAAGGGCAAATGAGAAATTTTCCAGACACAGAGTTCAGCAACTGCTTGTCCAGGGGAACGTATTTTGATTCAGAAACATTTTGCTTGGTTGGATTTTGGAATGCCCGACTCAGAAAATTTCCAAACCCATCATTTTCTTCCAATGAGGATTGAAGCTAATCATTAAAAAAAAAAAAAAAAAAAAATCAAATTTCTACTCTGAGTGTTTAGCTTTACTGTGCATACCACAACAGGACATCATAAACTTGGTATCCTCTTCCATGCTTTATAATAATAGAAATTCAATTTTGTTCTGCAGACTTTGCTATTTCCCTCCTGCAAAGAAGCTTTGGCCTTGTCTGGAACAGAAAACATTTCCTCTAAAGCAAGAACAAAAGCTATTTCATGGCTCAACTGGCAGGATGATTGGTGCAGTTATGAGTACACCCTAAGGTTGTTTTCTCTCAAGTTCTTATTTATTCCCAGAGCTTGATACACATGCTGCTAGCTCTGTAATCTTTCGAGAGCAACGTGCATCTTAGCTGGCATGAAAAATGAGAAAGCAAGATCTCCAGAATCAGCTTTGTGAGTCTACAGCATAACACACTGTCTTTCAACACTGTGATACCGCCTGATTCATATCCAGGACAAACTGAAGAACTGCGCTTTCACTGCTTTTCAGCTGAAGGTTATTCACATTTTAGGCACCAATGAAGTATCCCTACTTCCACTGCCTAAACCAACTGTTTGTGATTTTCAGTGAGCCTAAGCTATGGTAACCAAGTCAGGAACTAAGCAGCATATCATGTACTGTCTGTGTGCTTATGTTACAGTAGGAAAAGGATTAAAACAGTTTGATGAAAAACTGGAGATCATTATGCCTTTGAATAGACATGTTAGGTTCGGTCAGTCTCCAAGCACTCTGGCCAATGAATGTGGTTCCCCAGCTCAAACTACAGAGTGGAGAGCCTGGGAAATGCACTTGGTTTGACAGCACCAAGTTATTTTAACTTCTTCTAAGCATGCTAGTTTCTTAATATTTAGGTCTTCACCCCAACTGGAGTTAGGTAGCTCGTACCTGCAATAAACTTCAGCCCTGAAGAGTAAGCAGAAGGGTGTCCTAGCTCCAGAACTGGCAGTATTCCAGTCTGTTTAACCGGACAATTTGTTGCAGCTGATGTTCTTTCCACTGGGATTTCAGCCCATAACCAGCATTAACATTATTTTCACACATGAGGGCACTTACTCTTCTGGGCAGGGGGCCAAAGTACACACACATTTCCAGCCATTAGACCCTCCAGCCAGGCTCTAGGAATTTTTAGAATTGGTTTGGGAAGTTGACATTAGGCTTTTGTTTCTTTTTTGAGGATTGCATTTTATAATTATAAATGGTAGAAGAAAAAAAAAATTCTTCTTGTTCAAGAGAGTGGAAATCAAGGAATGCTCAACTCAGTTGTTTCTAATGAAATGAAGTGGAGAAAATGCAATCTGCAACTTTTTATTCCACGTTCTCCCACTTATAATTAACTGCCCCAGCTTGCTGAGGCCCAAATGGGCACTTCTGGAATTCTTTGTGTATTTCTACAAAGCATATTTTATGCTCAATTGAACAGATTTGAATACACTTGCTGCAAGTTCCTGTCAAGTTTAATTTATAGTCATGTATCGAGAATGGAGTTTACTTGCAAACCTGGAGAAGCCTTTTAATAATTGCTTCAAATTATCCTAGATGTGCTGTTTCTGGGAGACATTAGTTATCTGTGTATTCATTTTTTTTTAGCTCCAGTTGTACCAGGTGGAAATCATGACGTATGGGGCACTAAATTAAGGTTTGGGGAAGATGCTCTTGCATCGGATGAAAGAGAAAGGAGGCTCTGTGCAATTAAAAAGGCGATCAATACAGAATACTCACCAGTGCATGGTTAGGCTATGCCAGCATTTACAGAAGCAGCTACTCTGCCCCCATCGCCTCACACATATTACTCTGGGATCATTTTCTCACTAAAGCATACACAGCAATTGATGTTAGAATAGGGGTGGAAAGGAAGAAAAACATTAGCACTCGCTGAAGTTAACATTTCTGGATTACCCTAGGGTCCAAACACAAATCCAGACCCAACTCATCCCCCAGTGTAAAGGGAAACTGGCACTTCTGAGGGGCTGGTCTTGCCTCTTGACTGTGAACTCCAGCGAGATTCCCCATTGCCCTTTGCTCTCCTAAGTGGTACATAGAATACTGGTTCATATGAAGATTTTGGCATAGAGCTATTAGCGTATCATTACTTTATATCTTACAGTCCCTTTTTATTGCAAGAGCAGTCTAACTTGCATTTACTGTGAGGCAAGCTTATGCAAAAAGGTAGTTCCTCACTGTAGCTAATCCCTTCAAACCTATATCCTCACTTGCTCTTCAATAACTGGTTGACACACCCTTTCCCTAAGTGAGTAAAACCTAGAAATGTGTTGAACCAAACCATTGTTCCTTTTCTTCCCTGAAGATACTCCTCTGCTTGCGACGTCATGGCGCATTACACATGGGTTGCAACGTAGTCAGAACTGACAGATTCAACTTGAAGGAAGTGAATACACTTCAAGACCAGAGGAAATGTTACAAAGAAAGATTATTGATTAAAGTGGTAATGAAGAAAAGCAACAACAACAAAATGTCAGAGAATGCCAATGTAGGTTTTAAAGAGCTTTGTTTTCTGCAGTTGAAGCGGATACAACCCTCTGGATATAATTAAGGGAATTCCCTGTCAATACCTGACATTGAGGCAGTGCCAAATCCATGTTTCAGGAAAGAAGGTTCTTTTTCTCTTCTCTGCTCTGTTAGAACAAGAAATAAGTCCTTGGCAATGAATTCTTTTAATAAGGCAGTTTTAACAGTAACTAATAAATCAGTGTTATCACCTGAATGCGGCTCACATGACCAACCAAAACTCTAGCTAGTACAGAATCATAAAAAAGTGAATGGGTGTATCATTCAGAGCACAAATTACAGTCTTTCCAAATCATCCCATTGTGCGCACACACAGCAGACTGGAGACATAAATAAGAATCAAAAAAAAAAAAGTATAAATAAGACAATCTTAAAAACTAGTGTAAATAATACTAAAAAAATAAAGGGTTTGTGACCTAAATTCTTTTACCGAACAAAATCAAAGGGAGCATACAGAGCATGTGGCTTCCCATGATATCATTATATGGCCTTACTAATAGCAGTTATTACAATGACTACTTTATATTCCCCTCTGTTTCTTCTCTTGGAATTGTCTTGACCTCTAATATTTTCATAATTTATTCCATTTTTCTACACCTGTGATGCTCCATTATCTTTTTCATAACTAACCTCTAAAACTTACTCTGCTAAGAGAGGTCACCAGGTGGTTTAGAATACAAAGGGAAGGCACAGCCTCGGTTTTCAGCATTAGTCATAGTACTTCACGATCTTTTCTTCCCACAGTCCTTCTTTTTATTTATTTTGACCACCAGCTGAATGGTCAAAATAATGAGCAATGAGCAACTCTGCAAAACAAGGGCTAGCTTGCAAATACTGAGAAACAGCAAGTAATTCACAGAAAACTGAGATATGCCGAGAGTTTCAAATGATCCCTTTGAAGAATATTACTTTGCATTTCTCCAGAATTAATTCAAATTTGACAAAGTAGCGTCAGTTATAATTTTTGTTAGGTCTATCAAGACAACAGAAGAGAGTTTCACCACCACCACTTTGTCTAAACCAAGCAATTTCCTGGAGGCGTGGAGGTGGGAAACAGCTGAGACTACAGAAAAAAAAATAGCTAAGAGTATCATAGACAATATGCATTATAACAAAAATGTTACCTTGGTGCTATTTTAGAATGCATTGTAGCCACCAACGTCCCAGTATGCGGCTGAAAAGCTGGGACAGCCTCATCTGTGTACATGCCTCCATTTTGTCTGTGGTTTAAGCTGACTATATCAGTCATTACAACCAAGCCAGTTTCCTAGACAGTAAGAATGAAGACCACAAAACAAAAACCAGCAAGGAAAAAAAAAAAAAAAAAAGAATTAAATATGTACCAATAAAAACTTTTCTGACTAGAATGCCCCAACCCTATTCCAACATTTGTGGAGTAAATTTCAATTGAAACTTGTGGATTTTTAAAAACTTTATATAAAAATGGCTGTTAATGTGAAAATATATAGATACTTTATAGGCAGAGGTTTTATGAGAAAGCTCTTGTTTGCTTGGAAAATGCATTTAAACCAGTATCTAACATTACTGGGCACGTGTAACTGTCAGGCAGCTACAGGTGAAAAATTATTACTCATATTTTTCCCCTAGAATATTACATTACAGCTTTTTACCCTTCCTAAAAGTTTCCAGTGTTTTCTGCTGCAGTTAGCAGGCAGCTCTCACATCAGACATCACCAACT